TATGGAGAATAGTGTGGAGATTTCTTAAAAAACTGGAATTAGAACTGCCATATGACCCAGCAATCCCACTTCTGGGCATATACACTGAGGAAACCAGATCTGAAAGAGACACGTGCACCCCAATGTTCATCACAGCACTGTTTATAATAGCCAGGACATGGAAGTAACCTAGATGCCCATCAGCAGACGAATGGATTAGGAAGTTGTGGTACATATACACCATGGAATATTACTCAGCCATTAAAAAGAATTCATTTGAATCAATTCTAATGAGATAGATGAAACTGGAGCCCATTATACAGAGTGAAGTAAGCCAGAAAGATAAAGCCCATTACAGCATACTAACGCATATATATGGAATTTAGAAAGATGGTAACGATAACCCTATATGCAAAACAGAAAAAGAGACACAGATGTACAGAACAGAATTTGGGACTCTGTGGGAGAAGGCGAGGGTGGGATGTTTCGAGAGAACAGCATCGAAACATGTAAATTATCAAGGGTGAAACAGATCACCAGCCCAGGCTGGATGCATGAGACAAGTGCTCGGGCCTGGTGCACTGGGAAGACCCAGAGGAATCGGGTAGAGAGGGAGGCGGGAGGGGTGATCGGGATGGGGAATACATGTAAATCCATGGCTGATTCATGTCAATGTATGACAAAACCCACTACAATATTGTAAAGTAATTAGCCTCCGACTAATAAAAATAAATGGAAAAAAAAAAACACAGAAGAAAAAAAAGATCCCACATGCTACGGGGCAACTAAGCCTGAATGCCACAACTACAGGGCACGCCCCCCTCCCCCCAAAATCATTATTTTCCCCTTAGGTTCATTAGTATGGTGCATGCTTGTTATGGGTTGAATTGTGTCCACCCCAGAAGAAGTGGAAGTCTAACTCCTAGCGCCTCATAATGAAATTTGGAAATAGGGTCTTTTCAGTGGTGACCAAATTAAAATGAAGTCATTTGGTAGACCCTAATCCAACATGACTGGTGTCCTTCCTTATAAATGGGAAATTTGGACACGAGATAGACAGATCCACAGGGAGAACACATGTGAACACAAAAGTGTAGATCATGGTGTTGTGTTATAAGCCAAGGGATGTCAAAGATTGCCAGCAAACCACCTGAAGCTAAGGAGAAAGGCACAGGGTAGATTCTCCTTCACAACCCTCAGAAGGACCCAGCCCTGATGACACACTGCCCTTGGACATCTAGACTCCAGATCTGTGAAACAATAAATTTCTGTGTTTAAGTTGCCCAGTTTGTGGTAGTTTGTTACGGCAATCCTAGCAAACATATTCTATTAATGGATTTCCTGATGTTAAACCACCTTCATATTCCTGGAATCGATCCCACTTGGTTTTCGCTGGCTCCTAATAATATCCAGGATACTAACAAAATATAAGTGGTGTTTCAGAGTAGCATGGAATTGAGAGCAATTCAGAGTTCATGTTTGTCTTTCATATCCCTGTTTTCCATGGTGTCTGCTCTCTGCTTGAGTTCAACATGGCTCTCCCATTTCCTGAGCTCTCAGGAGAATACCGTTAGTTCTTTGTGTCCTGAAAAGTTCTGTGTCCAGCTCCACTTCTCTCCCTTGAGATCCCATCCCCTTGGCTAGATGGGTGTGGGGGAACTGGTTAATGAGATCACTTGAGTATTCCACCCCAAGACACCTAGCTCCGGTATTGAGCCATTCCCCTTGCCAGCAGGTGAAAGTGAAAACGTTAGTTGTTCAGTCGTGTCTGACTCTTTGCGACCCAATAGGTGGTAGCCCGCCAGGCTCCTTTGTTCATGGAATTCTCCAGGCAAGAATACTGGAGTGGCCTGTCATTCCCGTCTCTAAAGGATCTTCCTGACCCAGGGATTGAATCTGGATCTCCCACATTGCAGGCAGATTCTTTACCGTCTGAGCCACCAGGGAAGCCCATGGTATCTTTAAAAGAAATTACTGTTTATAAGAATTTCACTTGGGGGACTTCCCTGATGGTTCAGTGGCTAAGATTTCACCCTCCTAATGCAGGTGGCCTGGGTTCAACCCCTGGTCAGGGAACTAGATCCCTCAGACCACAACTGAAAAACCACGCATGCTGCAACGAAGGTCAAAGATCCAGCATGCAGCAGATAAGACCTGGCACAGCTAAATAAATATTAATTATGGAAGAATTTCACTTGGGAAACTCTGTTACATAGAGGAGCAGTGAAGATAGGGGTCTGCTGTCCTGACGCACAAAAGCTTCTCTCCAGGGCTCTGGTGGGGAGGAGGCTATGAAGTCCTGCAGAACTAGGAGGAGGGAACTAGCTCAGCTCTGGGTGACAGAGACTCTCTCAAGAGAAGTGGAAAGGGCTGCCTTGTGAGGGAATGAGGCACCCATTGACAGGAGGATGTAGCAGAGGTGGGGCAGCCAGTCAGAGAGTCATCAGAGGTGAAGAGGAGGAGGGGGAGAGAGGAGGAGGGGAAGGGCACAAGAGTGGAGTCAGACAGGGTAAATAGGATCCCAGATCTGCCATTTCCTAATTGTTGGACTGGGGCATCTCCCTGAGGCTCAGTTCTGTCATCTGTAAAGTGGGGCTAATGAGAGCTCCTGCCAAGGGTGGTTGTGAGAATTAAATGGGAAAAGCGCCTACACCGCAGGCCCCGTGATGGCACAACTTGGTGAATCAGTTTATAACAACCAACCAGCAGGGACCTGGAGCCAGAGCATCATCAGAGCCCCGCCCCTTCCCCCCACTTTTTTGGGGAGACCAGGCTCTTCCTGGCTTGTCTGGAAACCTCCCTCCCAACCCCCAACAAGGGCAAGGCCAATGCCTCTCCCACTCCACCAGACTGGGTGCCCTGGGCAGGTCACTGTCCCCCTCTAGGTCTTCTTCCTCATCTGCTAGAGAAGGTGGGAGCTGCCAGAGATGGGCTCTGGGGTGGGTCCTTCCAGTTCTAACATCCTAGGATGGCTGGGCTTCTGAGTTGCCATGTATACATATCTCTGCTCTTGGGGACCCAGTGTCGTCACAAAACGAGGGGTTTGGGCTAGATGAAAATGGTATCCGCTAAGCCTTGCTGAACACTAACTCTCAGCCAGGGCCCACTCTAGGTGCTTTATGTGACTCAGTCCATTTAATCCCCACAACAACCCCGTGGTGTGGTGCTACTATCATCATTTTATAGGTGAGGTGACTGGGGCACAGAGAGTGTGGGTCACTTGTTCAAGATCACACAGCTAACATGAACCCAGGTGGTGAGTCCAGAACATATTCTTGCAACCACCATGAAACTTTGTATTTCAGAGTGTTGTGGCTCTCACACTCTGAAATACATAAAGAGGGGCTAAGCATCCTGTGAACTCTACCCTAGTGAGGGCTGAAGCAGCCACATTTTCTCAGCCAAGACCCCAGCTTCACTTATGAACATGTGGGAGTTGCCCAGCCCAGAGGCAGGGCTGCTCAACATCCTACATGCAGGTGCCCACCACTTACGTATACCTGGTCATCTCTCACTTCTGCTAGAAGCCCATTTTACAGACAGAAAAATGAGGCTCTGAAAGGATAGTGGACTTGTTTGGATCACACAGTGAGTAACTGGCAGAGTGAGGACCTGAGCCCAGAGCTCCCTGGCTTCACCCAGCAGTACTGTCTTTCCTAGAATAAGCCTCAACCTCATCTGCCTGCAGACTCCACCACCAACCCCAGAGAGGCAGCATGAGTTTAGGGCCCTGGAAGAGACACAAGTGGCCATGTGGGGATGCTGAAGAAGGGGGTAGGGCTTTGTGGTGGAGACATGGCCTTAGAGCCAAGCCTGATACCAAGATGTGCCATGTACAGAGGCAAGGAAGAGCTTTTCAGACTGTGCAGATCCCCATTAGACGAGGTCTGAGTGCGGGGAAGCTGGGAGCCCTTGAGAGGAACACTGAGAGCCTGGCTGCATCCCAGGGCAGGGGTAGTGCAATGGGATCTGCCTGGGGCAGTCAGCCAAGGGCACAGCCTTGGACCATTGTTCTGTGGGCAGTGGGTCGTGGCTACATATTTGCAAGTCTCTGTAAAGGACTGGAGCTACACCTGGAGGTGGGGGGTGGGGGGTGTCTGGGAGGCCTGGGACAGAGGCTATGAAGAGGCTGGGTTAGTCAGAGTGACTTAGAGGTAGATGACATTACCCAAGACTGGGATCACTGGGCTTTCCAGGTGGTGCTAGTGGTAAAGAACCCACCTCCCAATGCAGGTAGATGTAAGAGATGCAGGTTCTAGCCCTGGGTCGGGGAGATCACCTGGAGAAGGAAATGGCAACCCATTCACGTACTCTTGCCTGGAGCTGCATGGACCAGGAGCCTGGCGGGCTATAGTCCATAGAGTCGCATAGAGTCCTACATGACTGAAATGACTTAGTGTGGAGGGGAACATAGGAGGGAGAGGTGGTGGGTCTGAACTTCTCCATCTTCGAAGTTGGCTGACCTAGGCCTCAGATGAGCATAATAAACACATCCGTCCTGCCATCCCAGAGCCCCTACTGTGTGCCAGGACTGGTCACTCACAAACCTTCTCTATCTTATTTGGGAAATATGCCCCTACTTCTGTCCTCGCATCATTGCACAAGTAAGTAAATACTCGATATGGGTCTAGAACCAACTTTCCCCATTTGACAAGGGCCCTCTTTGCGCCCCCAGGGGTCTGGGTCTGGCTCCTCCATCCCGAATTTTGAGAATGGATATGGACATGAAAAGGCGCTTTCCTGGTGGCTCCCACCAGGGGAAAATCTGCCTGCAATGCAGGAGACCCAGGTTGGATACCCGGGTCTGGAAGATCCCCTGGAGGAGGAAACCACTCCAGCAGTCTTGCCTGGAGAATCACACGGACAGAGGAGCCCGGCGGGCTACAGTCCATGAGATCGAAAGAGGTGGGACACGATTGAGTGACTAACAGACACACACAAACAGACATGGAGATGGGGAAGAGATGGGTGCTCGCTTCTTCGTGTCCTTCTTTTCCCAGCCCCCTGCCTCAGTGCCAGCCTCAGCTGGGCCCTGGGGGATTCCTGGAGATGTCGGGAGGAAGGGACGAGAGAACACGGGCCCGATCAAGCGGTCGGGGGTCGGGCTGAGCCGCGCGGGCCCCCAAATTCTCTCCTACTTTCCAACGAGAACTCCGCAGCCACCTCACGCCCGGGTGGCTTCGGTGCTCGGCACCAGTTCGCATGCGCATCAATCCTGTCCCTCCAGCCCCGCTGGAAACCACGCCCCCGTCCCCAGCTGGGCGGAGGCCGCGGGGCGGGGCAGGCCGCCCGGGGAGTCCTAGCTCGAGCCCCCGCCCCAGGCCAGCCCCAGCCGATCGCGGGCCGGAGCCGGAGGCCACTAAGGTGGGGAGGCCCAGCCTCTGTTCCGGTGCCGGCGCCGAGCGCTGCATCCCCGAATCCGCTGGACCCGCGGCGGCGCGGCAGGTAGGAGACGCTGAGCAGAGGGAGGTGTGTGCGACCGCGCCGGTGTTCATGTGTGTTTCGGGGGTGTGTGTGTGCGGGTGCATTGCGGGGCAGCGCGTGCCCTGTGAGCCCGAATCGGTGGGTGTGGGGGTGCACATCCCGCCGCGGGGAGGAGGTGAGCGCTGGCTTTGAGGCCCCGGGGGGGGCGGGGACCGCCTGGATCCGCCCCGGCCCCCGGGGCTCTCCCCACCCCCACCCGCGGCGAGGGGCGTCTTCCCACTGCACCTGGGTGTTCCCGAGCTGTTTTCCTAGTTCAGACCGGCTATAGGGTTAGCTCCCATGCCTTGACGGGCTCTTTCCCTCCTCTTCCTCAGAATTCCCCTTTCCTGTCCCTTCCCAGACCTCCACCCTTCCAATTCGACTACCCTTCCCGGGTGCCTCCCCATCCCCCGTCCCTGGCGGCTTGGGAAAAGGGGCAAGGCCAAAGTCGGTTCCCTTCCTGACCCTCTTGCCAGGTTGAATAGGGCCCTTTTTCCTGGGCTGCAGGGCTTGGGTGTGTGTGTGAGGGGGCCGGGGAGGCAGGCAGAACTGGGGTAGAATGGGTCTTGCGCTTCTCGGATCATGCCTCCCTCCTTCAGAGTTGGGAGTCGGAGGAGACCCACCAGGGTTCCAGAGGTGAAGCAGGACGTATGATTAACAGGTGCCAAGTTCTCTCCAGGCTTCACTTCCTGTGGTGGGAGTCAACCCAGACCCCACAGGGTTGAGGAGAGTGGGGCTCGGAGAGTGGGGCTCAGAGGGTGGAGTGAGCTACCCTTGCTATCAGGACTGCTAAACCAGAATTTTGTACTTGAGTTGGCCTGGCTCTCAAATCAGAATCCTTTCCCTACACCAGCAGCTAGAGAGAAGTGCCAGGGCAATTATTTTTAGGATTCTGGAGAGGGAGAAATCTGGGCAGACTTCCTGGAAGAGAGGGAGTTTGAGAGAGGGGCTCAGCCTACCCATACATGTGTGAGGACTCCTGAGGGAACTATTGTTCTGCCTCAAGGATTGGGACCCTCCTACCCAGGGTCTTTGGGCCTGGCCTTTGCTGTAATCTGGAGTCCCAGGGTGGGGGTGGGGAGGCTTGGCTGCGTTCCCTGCTGAGGGCCGGGCAGGGTGGACCCAGCTGTTGCTGCTTCAGGCCAGAGCTGGGAGCCAGGACACTGAGGTGTTTAGGCGGGGTCATCAGCCTGAGGAACCTCTCTTCTGACTGATGAAGCGGAAGGGTCAAACCCAGAAGCCCCTGCCCAGAGTTGCACCCAGTGCTGGGAGCCAGCCCCTGCCCAGGAGCTGGGCAAGGTTTCACTGTGAAGGATACATCGGTGCTGGGTGCTGAAGGTTGAAAAGTTCACCAAGCAGAAAAGAAAGGGCAGGGCACTGCAGGCCTGGGAATAGATGGGTGAGGGCCTGGAAGCACGCAACTGCATGTGGTCCAAGGGTAGGGGCAAGAATGACAGGGAAGCCTGGCCTGCCGCAGTGGATGGGGTCCCAAAGAGTCAGATACGATTTAGGGACTGAACAATGACAAAAAAGGGCATTAGATAGATCATCAGATGTGTGGCGCTGTGGTGGGTGAGTTGCTCTGGAGGCCAGTGAGCAGAGGGCCAGAGCAAGAAGCCCCCTTCTTTTTCCCCTTGCCTCTCCCCTTCCCAGCTCCCCACCCAGACTTGGCTTGGCACCCAAGGCGGGGATCTGATAGGGCTTCCCATGGGAGAGGGGTGGAGCATGGGGAACGGTTTCTGGGGGAGCCCTTTCTGAGTTGGGGCCACCACTGGGGATAGAGCAGGTTTGGGGAAGTTGATGAGATGTGAGAGGCCTGTGGGTTTTGGGGGGTGGGGGGATGACATCCAGGACACTGATCCCAGACCAGTGCTGTCTCTGGCTGCATCTGCCCTTGACTTCCCTGCAGGTTCCCGGGACAGCCCTGGAGCTCTGGTCCCTGATTGGGAGGCCCTCTTGGAGCCCCCAGTGGGCACTGCACACCCTGCCTCCGTGACCTCTCCTACCTGCAGGTCCTCTCCTACATTGTGTCAAGCTTCCTCCGAGCTGAGACTGGCTCTGCACGTGACCTTGAGGCAGGGAACTTCCCCTGAGAGGCTCAGTTTCTTCATCCGTGAAATGGGGATAAATGCTGCCTAATCATAGGGATTCAGGGGTTGATGATGAAGTTAATTTGTATCACTGAAAGTGCTTTACAAAGTACATGGTGTTTAGTCGTCATTATAACTAATAATAACTAACCGCATCACTTAGTCCTTTCTTCCCTGGGGAAGGAGGGGCTGACTTTGGGAGAAGGGTGAAAGGAAAGAGGAAGCCCCTCTTGGCTTCTGTGGTTGGAAACTGTGGCCCTCAACCTGCTCCCGTGGGTGGGCTCGCTGTCTGGGGCCAGGCAGGCAGGAGATCTGTCTGCTGCTGGTCTTCTGACCTCTCCCCGGCCTTCCTCTGCCCTCCTCGCCCCCTCCCTCCCGTGTACTCTAGTGTTCTGAGTGCCTTTAAAAACCCCTCCACTCCACTCCTCTAGCCCTTCCAGAGACCTCTCTGTCCCTTCATGCCTTCCCTTTCTACTCAAAACATTCCTTGACTGGCAATAGCCTGCCCCCCCCCGCCCCCCCTGCCAGGCCTTATCTTCAGGATCCCCCGACTCTGCAGAATCTCCTCCTCCCTGGGTTGATGGTGAGGCCCTGGGATTGCCTCACTTGCTTTGGCCTCAGGCCTTGCCTTTCCCTGCTCGCTAAGGCAAAATGGGCCAAGTCCCTTTGGGGTTCTAATCCAGGATGTTTTAGGAAGCCAGCCTTCAGGCTTGGAGGTAGGAAATTTCACAATGTGAGCATTTGCTTGCCTGTAATGGCCTGAGTTCCTGCTCCCTGTTCTAATTGCTCAGGGCTGTGTTTCCAGGGGCTCTGGCTTTCCCGAGGCTGCAGGTGTGAGGGAGGGTGCCACAGGCTGAGGCATGGTGGCCTGTGGGTGTGGACTGTGGTTTTCTGCCACAGTGGTGGCTGTGGTCAGCTCTGGGACAAGGGGGCTGGTGGCCGGAGCAGACCAAGCCCATCCATGGGCACGCAGCTGGCCAGCACTGTCAGGGTGTGCCCCGATGACCTCAGGACCTTGCAGCCCGGGGGACAAAAGGCAGAGTCTGTTGGCTTCATCAGCCAGCCCCAGCCTCAGAGCCCCCTGCTGGGTGCTTCTGCCAAGAGGGCGAGGTGGTGGCAATCAACTGGTTGTTACTAATAATAGTAACTGACACTGAAGTTTGGGGTGACTTGGTTTTCCCTGGGAGTAGTTCAAGGAGTAACAGCTTCATCCTCACTCACCCAGTTCCTGGAGCAGGAGAGAGGTATGAGGCTGCATACCTGCAGGAACTCTATTCATCGTATTCATAGCCTGTTGCTGCTCTGTAATAAATTAACACAAGTTTAGTGGCTTAAGTGGAGTAGGAAATGGCAACAATACTGGCAATCCAGTACTTTTGCCTGGAAAACCCCATGGATAGAGGAGCCTGGTGGGTTACAGTCTATGGGGTTGCAAGGAGTCGGACATGACTGAGTCACACACACACACATACACACACACACACAGAGTGGCTTAAAACCACACAGATTTATTCTCATACTGTTTTGGAGGTCAAAGGTCTGAAAAGAGTCTTACGGGCTGAAGTCAATGTGTCAGGCTAGTTCCTTCTGGAGGCCCCAGGGCTGCCTCTGTTCCTTGTGGGTGTCCATGTTCCTCATGACCCCTCACTCCATCTCTCTACTTCCCTAGTCCCATTGCCTTTTCCTCTTTTGGAGTCAAACCTGCCTCTGCCCTCTTCTTAAGGACACCTGTGATTACATTTAGGATCTCTCCAGATAATCCAGGATAATCTGTCCATCTCAAGTTCTTTAATCACATCTGCAAAATCTTTTTGCCATATAAAGTAACACTCGCAGGTTACAGGGATTATGGAGTCGGTATTTGGGGGACCCGTCATTCACCCTACCACAGGAGACACCTGAAGTGTCATTGCAGGTCCCATTCTTAGAGGTCCCCCTCCTGGGCACCCACAGCCACTGGCTTCCCCCAGGGGGTCACCCTCAGCGTCTGTCACCCCCTCAGCCTAGAGGCTTCGGCTGGCAGAGCCTGGGCTGTGGCACCTCTGGGGCAGTGTGCTGGTGTGTCCCCATGGGTTACCCCAGTGACCAGACCCCATCCCGGGGTCCTTAACATGCCAGCAGGTTAAGCCTTCCAGCACGCTTGCATGTGTGCTAAGTCGCTTCAGTCGTGTCTGATTCTGCATGACCCTATGGACTATAGCCCACAGGCTCCTCGGTTCATGGGATTCTCCAGGCAGGAACCCTGGTGTGGGTTGCCATGCCCTCCTCCAGGGGAGCTTCCTGGCCCAGAGATCAAGCCTGTGTCTCTTACATCTCCTGCATCGGCAGGTGGGTTCTTTACTGCTGATACCCCCTGGGAAGCCCCTTCCAGGGAGGAGTGCATCTCAGACATTGATTCGCTAACTCTAGTGTCATGTAGGGTCACTTGATCCCCACCATCACCCGGGAGGGCCAGGATGGGAGGCCCATTTTGCAGATGAGTGCATCAAGGCCGACTGGGGCTAAGTCCTGCCTACAGGAGAGAGGGGTGAGGGGAGCCGGAGTCAGGGCAGGTTGTGCCAGAGAGCAGGAGACTGCCTTTTACAGATGAGGAAGGTAACCGCTGTGCCCCTCCTGGGCCTCTCTCCCCCCATCTGAGGACGAGCGTGCGGACGGGACGTTCTGAGGCTCTGCCTCTCCCCTTGGGCCCAGGGAGGAGGAGGCGCTGACATTGCCTTCTAGGCTGCCTCGGGGGGAAATGTGACATGGGGCAGAGCAGAACATGGAGCCCAGAGGTGCTGCCAACAGGTTCCTCGCCCCAGAAGGAGATGAGTTTGTCTTCTGGGAGGTGGGGAGCCTCCTGGCCTCCAAGGAAGGAC